GTAAACTTTGTACATTACGTTGAGGAGAGATATGGGTCGGTAATTGGCTGGATCCGATTCCGAGCCCTTCCCTTTATATATACTGACCACTAGGGCCTGCTTCCATTCATGGGGTACTGTTTTGGATCTGTAACATTCATTTAAAATATCTAACAAGATTAGTTCCCCCACGTGATCTAGCAGGAGGAGTAGCTCCGCCTTGGTGCCATCGAGTCCTGCTGCCTTATTATTTCGAAGCTGTTTAAGGACTGTGGTCAGTTCTTCATGGGTAAATTGGGGGGGGGCGGTGGTCTCCTGGGGATGTAATTTGAGGGGGTCTTCGAGAAGCTTGAGTTTTCTCATCCGTGACCGAAAACCGTTCACCTTTGGACGTTGTTTAGCTGATCTTGAAAACGGTGTGTTGTGTCCAGGGTACGGTTTTCCGTGCTTTTTTTTTTTTTTTTTTTTTTTTAACCCGCGTGCGCTTGCCTGGAATCCCTTTTTAAGTTTGTCTGTGACTCCCAAATGTGTTGTGCGACGTCCGCGCGGTATTGCTCCGAGCCTAGCCTCCGGGAATGTGACCTTGTTCAATCGCTCTGTTGAGCTTTTGTTTTTTTTTTTTTTTTTTTTTGTTTTTTTTTCAGTTTCATTTTTACCGGCCTTGAAATTTGTAGGTAGGGATTCGCATTCGGATCCTTTTTTTCTAAATGTTTCAATATTGTTTAGCTAATTCCGGGGTAATCAAGGCTGTTTAGGGGTAGCCAGCAACCAGCAATGTGGGAATTGTTGCACTCTTGTGCTTTGTGTAGTGCATCGACAAATCTGCGTATTTACGGTTTGGGGGTCCTTGAGCCTACTACGTCCGGCGTTTGATGCTTTTGCGGGGTAGCCATACGGGGTAAGGAAGCTCTGCATCCTTCCAAGTTCCCACGGTTTTGCACTGTCCGCTGCTGATCTGCGGCTTTCGTTGTATTTGGTCTCATGAGTGGCCCTTACCCCACCTCCATTGATCTGCGTTGTTTGTTGGAGTGCCAATAGATTGCCGCGCTATTTTTATCATGCTTTTGTGGCGGTGTGGTCTTGATGTGCCTTGTACCATTGTGCCATCCATTTGCTGTCATAATGGAATGTTATTTCGCGGGTTTATGGTTAGTGACAAGGCAAACAATGCCGCCTCCATCCATGCTGACAGTTCGGCCGTATTGTTGATTCCCATACCGTAGCCCCTAAATACATAGGTGAGGTTGCTTCTGTCGGACGGGTCCATATGCTGTTTGCTGAGTTTGTTGCGGGGTAATCAGTGTACGTAACCCCCAGACTGCGGGCGTAGTAGCCGAGCAGCGACCTGAAGATCCGGAGCCATCGGTGTAAACATCCCAGGGGTTCCCTGTCATCTGTGCATCGGAAGGGTGGTCTTATTGTTGAAGTAGGCTTTTTGAGCACCTGTTGAACTCATTACGCTGTTCTAAAACTAACGTCGGAGGGAGTGCGTGTTTGGGGGGAGGGGAGTTCTCGCATTTATGCTCTTTTAGTTTGACCTTTATGACTGCTTCCAGTAAATAGTGGTCACTAGGGAAGCCTTCAGAGAGGACTGAAATTACTTGGTGAACGAGGGTAAAGCCATTGTGCTCTGGTAATCACCGTGTCTAACGACACTGAAAACCTGTCGGGGTCTATGGTAGGGGGGATGGGAGGTGTAGTGGGCCAGTCATCTGTAATGTAGGTGCGAATAAGCCCTGCCACCTTCAGCCTATCGTCCTCAGGGCATGGCATGGCTTCCACCTTGCCCATAATTTGCGTCCAAACCTATTGGGTCAAGGGCAAATGAGGACCATGGTTTTCGGGGGGGGGATTTTTGTTCACCTTGTAGGTGACATTGTTGGGGGTTTGGTTGCTTGAAAGTTAGCGTCTGTCTACCAAGGGCGTGGTGGTCGAGAGGAGTTGTGTGTATAGGAATCGGTTCCATGTGTCGTTGTTATCAATGCTGAGAGGCCCTTTTCCATAAAATGGGCCCGAGAATGGGTGTTCCCATGCTTTGCGACCCTGTAGCCGGACATTGCAAATCTCCTAAGATGTAGATTGGTTCGGGCAGAGGATTTCGAGGTGATGCTTGCTGAGGGTTTCCCAGAATGGGAACTTTACTTTTTTTTCAAAGTCTAGTTTGTTATGTGGGGGAATATTCCAAACAGATGCATGTCTCCGAGCTACCGAAAAAAAAGGTAAGAGCTGAATAATGCGACTTGAGTGTGCACGACATCCTTTAGGAATGTAATTATGGAGGGGGGGACAATGGCTGTAACTCAGCCATACTGGTCTTTTTTGCTTCCATTTACTAACCAGTGGTGTTGGGAGAGGTAATTGTAGTACGAAGTGGGATGGGTCTCTGTCAAGAATAAGGGACGACAATGATCTTCTTTTTAGGAGGTCTAAAGGACGCTTGGTGCTTCACTGTGTTCTGCATAACTGGAGCTTTTTTTTTTTTGTGTGTGCCGAAGCGAAAAACAGCGAAAAAACTTTATGGCCATAAGGAAGAGGCGGAGTAGCAAAAGAGGTTTGTGTACTTTTGGCGGGCTTTTCCCCCTGTGGCCTAAGGACTAGATTTTTAAAAAACTTAGCCGTGCATACGCCTTTTCGGCGTACCTTTACTGCTTTCAAGGACAGCTGTCCCTAACCAAGCGTTGTCCGGCGCTTTTGGTTGTATAGTTCCTTCACGAGTTGCCTCCACCGCCTAAATTGGCGTCTCTTCGCTCCGCGGCCCCCCACCCCCAAAAACCCTCTCTGCGCGGGAACTCTGGCGCCCCTGCCTGAAGAAAGGAAAACGAGTGGGGACAGTGTGGGCCGTACACTCTTTGCTTTCCGCCCGAAGCGGAACCGGCTGCCTCTTGGAGGCGGTGGGGGCTTTGCATTTGGCGCTAAAAACACAAAAAAAATTCGAGTTTGAAAAAAAAGTGTTTGGGATCTGCGGAAATTGGCGGGAATGCTTTAAAACGGGGGGGTTGGCTGCTATGGGTCAAAAGGTTTTAGCCCCATGTTGCACGGGAGAACCTTCTAGTCTCGACCTGATCTGTATTTTGGGGTGCTTTTAAGAATTGGCAAGTTTCTCTATTTGGAACTGAAAAGTCTACTTTTGTGGCAGGACGACAATAAGGGAAAATTTCTGCTAAGCTTAAATTCAGGAAACTGGCTGGGCGGTTAAAGAGGCAATGCTGTTAGTATTTAAGGTGGGTTCTGGTGGGGAATGGCCCTTTTTGTATTGCATCCGGAAGCAGGTCGGCCAAACAGAGGCCGGCGTGGCGGCGTAGCTGGGGTATATTCCCATTCAGGGCGCGCATATTTATTCCCAATTTGGCTACTGGCTTTTACACTGGGAGAACTGTTTAGCTATAGTCTGTATTGTATAGTTGCAAACTGATATACTATTAAGGCATCTGCTAGGATGATTTCCGGCGAGGCATTGTTGGGTGAGGTGTAGTAGTGCAGTGTAATCAAGGCAACAGAATAGATATAAACAGTGAGGATGGGGGAAATGTTGAGGGTGCTTGGAGGTCTTTTTGTGGTCTCCTATGTTGATTTTTACGAAGGGTGTTCCTATCCCAGCCTATACTTAGCCAGTAGACAGCAGAAAGGCGATTACCCTGGGCAACTGAGAGTTAGCCTTGGGCCAAACTGCTCTGGGACTGGCAGCTCGAAAAAGGTCGGTCAACGAGTTATAGAATAGAAGCTGGAAAAAATGTGCCGCTGTACTCCCATAAGGATGTGAGTGGTAGACGAGTGCGTCGAGGCCTTCCAAACGTGCATTGCTCCACCCAAGGCCCCTGTCGCTCCAGCGCCGCTGTTAGAAAGTTCAAAAATGGCAGCGCGAGCAATTTAGAAAGTTTCAAAGGGGGAACTTGGGGAGCTCAAAAAGTTTGAAAGAGAAACAATGCCGTCATGGGGGCGGGGGCGGGTAGCCGGGGCGTGGGGAAGCGCCGGGGACCTTGGTACGTGGCGGCCTTGTAGTCCCACCGATTTGCGGGTCCGCCATGGAAAACTGTCGCAATACTCGTCCATTACATAGGCGACGGCTTGCCCACCTTATTTACCGCTAGGGGTAGCGGGAAGGGAGCAAGCTCCGAGGGAAAAAAATAGGCTGGCGCCGTCCAGTGGCGGGGTGGTCGACCAAACCTTCATGCCTTTTCCAGTGCCTTTGGCACTTGGGCGGCTTGTCTTTTACAGGTCTCGCTCAGCGACGTCCATCTCATGCTGACTCCAAAGACGACCGCGTTCCAGGCGTGGTCCCAATGGAACTCTCATCCGCATCAGGTGGTCTGGCGGGGTAGTCTGGAGGAGGTCCCAAAGATAGGGTTGACCTCCAGCGTACCACGTAGGTATCCGCCCTCCTTGGCGAGTGGGACATCTGGCGATGGCCTGCGCTTGGTCGTCGAAAGCTCTCTGCTCTCTGCGGCTCCATGATCGTAAACGTTTTCCACGGATGACAACCTGGTCTTGGGGGCTGGCCAGGTTGAGGGCGCGCGCAAGATGACCCTCAGCGGAATTTTTCCAGATTTCCGCTGAAACTGAGGGCTGGCAGGAGTAGCCGGGATGTGTGATCCGCGAACCGCAGTCCACCACGGAGTAGAAGGGGACACCTGCTGAGCCGCCCCCACCATAGGGTCCATGACGTCTTGCGGGCTGCCCCACGCTCGAAAGTGGATTCAGGGTGATTGTGCTCCACTTGGCCTTGCCAGCCGGAGGAGTAGCGGGTCTGTGGAAAGGATGTGTGTGGAACATGGGGTAACGTTGCGCCAGGTTTTCCGGGTCGTGACTCTCTGGCGAAGGAGTGTCGAAGGCTTCCACTTCATGCAGCATCCAGTTGACCATGTAGTTGCGATCTTGCGGGGTAGCCGTTTGCGGGAAGCCCTGTGAGCAAAGCAAAACGGTAAGCCCGGACTGGGTTTTTGCTCCAGCCTATTGTCGGAGGCTAGCCAGCTTGAGTATCCTTGTGCTGGCGGAGATCTGTCGTCGAAGTTGCGAGGAGCGTCCATATCAACCTGGTGATCATGTTGTAGAGCTCTGGTCTGATCACCGCGTGGTGGTAGCTTTGGATTCGTATGGAGCACTTGCTGGCGCGTGGTGATCTGTGAGTTCAGCCACTGCTGCATATCCGCTTGGTCGTTGACGTTGACTCCCATGACGATGGCGGTGGCCATGATGGCATTTGTCCGGGGCGACAGTACCACTGGCTGGAAAAGATCCGTGGTGGGAGCGGCGTGGTAGTCGAGGATGCCGCTGCTGCCGGTTGTGGGCTGTGATTCCACCTCTCCGGACTGGCTGGCCAGGCAAGTGGAAGAAGAAAGGGCCGGCTGTGGCGGTCCTCGCTTGCGCTGTTCTCCCAGAAGAGCTGTTGCGCCGCTTCATAGGCGGGCGGGCGTACTACCTGTCCTGCTCGAGTACTGCGAGTTGACCTCCATTGCCAGCTGTTCAGCACGCTTCTCGTCCCACCGTGGGGGGCATGTTGCTGGAGCGGAGCTGGAGTGGTAGCCAAACTGGGATTGCCCACTACTAGCCACAATACGATCTTTGAAAAAAATGCCGTAAACTGTTAGATACCAGTTGAAACCATTGCGGGGTACGAAGCCTTAAGCTGAAACCCCCCATGGCAGCGCGCGAACTGAAAGACGAGGACGCCTTGCTGGTGGGTTTAGGGGTTGGGGTTTGGGGTTAGGGTTTAGGGTGTACCGCAAGGCCAGATGCACAAAAGGTTTCACGCCCGGGTTGAGAAGGTAGCTGCTTTCTGTCCCCAGTTCAAAAAAAAAAACCTCTGTACAGATGATTATTAATGTGTCAAGGTGACATTACTCAAATCTAAACCCTGTATTTGGGGATTGAACTAAGCTGCATCGTGGGTGCTTTTGCTTGTAAACTTCCCGGCGTGGCACCGTGGTAGTGCCAGGGTTTTGGGAAGGCGGGTGACAGGTTTCGAGGCCGGCTTTTGTTGATGGCTTTTTGGTTGAGGGAGTTTGTGGGCTTTTCGGGTTTCTAGTCCTGTTCTGCCGCAAAAAAGCCCTGAACCCACTAAACCCTAACCCCTGAACCCCAAACCCTACACCCTAAACCCCAAACCCTACACCCTAAACCCTAGCCCTAAACCCTAAACCTAGCCCTAAAACCCAAAACATGAACCCCAAACCTGCACCCTAAACCCTAGCCGAACCCTACGACATGGGAGGCCGGGAACTGGCTGCGGAGAAGGCCGATGGCTCTTTGCCCAGGACGTCTCAGGCCGTGGACTACCCAGGGTTGGGGTTTAGGGTTTAGGGTTTAGGGGTTAGGGTTTAGGTTTAGGGTTTAGGTTTAGGGGTTTAGGGGTTTAGGGTTTAGGGTTTAGGGTTGGGTTTAGGGTTTAGGGGGGTTAGGGGTTTAGGGTTTAGGGTTTAGGTTTAGGGTAGGGTTTAGGGTTTAGGGTTTAGGAATTCAGGGTGTGGGGTTTTTACGGTTCAGGGTTTAGGCCCTAAACGAGGCTACGAGAGTATAGGGCAGGGCCGGGCTGCATGGCGCAACTGGACCAAACAATAACCCTAAACCCTAAAACCCTAAACCCTAAAACCCTAAACCCTAAAGCCTAACACCTAACGCCTAAAAAGCCTAAAGCCTAAAGCCTTAAACCTAAACCCTAAACCCTAAACCCTAAAGCCTAAGCTCCTAGACCTAGACAGCCCACCCCCCAAGTTTTGTTTTTTTTTTTTTTTTTTTGTTTTTTTATAACGGTACTTAGAAACCCCAAATATTGCCACATGTAGTGGGCCAGAAGTACAGAGTACAATTGGGTTATCAGTTACCATGAACCCAAGTAGACCCTTGGCGTTGGAGATGTTTCTCTTAGGGGTTAACATATCCCGATGAAGGACTGTTAGAAAAACAGGGGAATGCTCTTCCTTGGCGACGCAACGGGAGAGTTCGACCCTCCCAGGCAGGTTAGGGTTTAGGGTTTAGGGTTTTTAGGGTTTGGGGTTTAGGGTTTTAGGGTTAGGTTTAGGGTTTTAGGGTTTTAGGGTTTAGGGTTTCCTAGCTAGCTGCCACTGAACCTGGACCGCAACTAAACCCTAGCACTGTGACCATGTAAGGCTCAAACTTGCAGGCCAAGATTTAAGGGTTTAGGGCTTAGGGTTTAGGGGGGGGGGGGGGGGTTCGGTGGTTAGGGTTCGGGCTTGGGGGGGGGGTTTAGGGATCAGGGTTCAGGAGCCCTAAACCCCGAACCTGGAGTCACTTCTTTTGCATGCCCTCCCACTCCGAGCTCAATATCCGGATAATGCTTAGCAACCGCGAGCTTGCTGAACCCTTTGCGCGGTTTAGGTTTTTAGGCGGGTGTCTGGCAGTCAGCAAGTCCAGCTGCAAAAAAGGGTTTTGGGTGGTGAAGGGGTTCTATGGAGCGCTGGGCACGGGATTTCGAAAACATCCGTGCCGTCGACTCAGAAGCGTGTTGAACCCTCAGCGCTCTAAACCCGAAACCCCCCTCGGTAGGGTTGAGGTCTAAACCTCTAAACCTTCTAAAACCTTCGCGGGTTGCAAGGGAGGCCCATTCAATCCATGAACCCAAGATGGTGTGAACGTGACATGGGGGGTCGGAAGCACTACGAATTTATTCCCTTCTGGTCCCTGCATCATTTTACTATAATACCCCCCCTACAAAATATAAAAATATGATTCAGCCCCGGAGGGCCCCCCCCCCTCCCCCCCCCCCCCCCCCCCCCCCCCCCCCCCAATGGTCCCCCCCCCCCCCCCTGTGGTGTGGTTGGGGGTTGGTTTTAGGGGTTTAGGGTTTAGGGTTTAGGGTTTTAGGGTTTTAGGGTTTTAGGGTTTAGGGTTTAGGGTTTAGGGTTTAGGGTTTTAGGGTTTTTTAGGGTTTAGGGTTTAGGGTTTAGGGTTTAGGGTTTTCCCCGCGGATGGGGTACTAAGATGATCCCCCCCCCTGTGGTGTGGTTGGGGGTTGGTTTTAGGGTTAGGGTTTAGGGTTCAGGGTTTTAGGGTTTAGGGTTTAAGGTTTAAGACTTAAGGTTTAGGGTTTAGGGTTAGGGTTTAGGTTTTAGGGTTTAGGGTTTAGGGTTTAGGGTTTGGGGGTTTAGGGTTTAGGGTTTAGGGTTTAGGGACCGTAGAGTAGACTTGGGGGGGGGGGGATACCATGGGGGGGGGGGGCCCAGGACGCTCGACGCTGAACCATATATATATATATAAATATATATATATATATTCTAATTATGAAGGCCCCTATTTTAGCCATTTTGGCCCAAGAGCCGTTCCATCAAGCGACTCGCGCTCAGGTTTTGCCCTAGAGGCGGTGGTGCAAATGCATTACAAACATGCTGTGCCCACGACTGCCTCGAGCGACGAGTGCTTGAAGGACCCCGACGTCGTCGTAGCTACCGGGTGGTGCACGCCCACAGTGGAAGAAGGAAGGTCCGTCAGCAAGAGCAGCACTGCAACTACTTACTGTGAGCCCTCATGTTACGAGGAGAGCGAGGCAACAAAGGTGGTGCAGGATGGCAGTGGCAGCAGCGTGGGATCACTCGTTGAGCCCGTGGATGTGAAGCAGTTCCGGAAGCAGTTGAATAAGTCCTTGAAGAGAGATGGGGCAATGGAGTCTGTGGGCAGCGCTGGGCATCCCGACTCCTGCACGCCCTGCTCCTTCTACTGCTTCTCATGCCTTGGCTGCCGTTTGGATCGTGCGTGCACCTACTGTCACCTTTTCCACCAGTCGGGTCGAAGGAAGCGCCGGGAGGAGTGGAAGCGCCGGCAGGTGAGCAGCTGGCACACCTGCGAGGGTAAGCCACAAGAACCCACACAAGATGTGGGCGAACCCTTGCCAAAAGACTTCGGAGAGGCAACGTCTCCCGACATGATGGCGCTGCGGCCACGAGCCCCACCTGGGTTGAGCAAAGCATCCATCCAGGAAGAGCGGATCCAACATGTCTTGCCGAGTTCGGCTTCGTGCTCCTTGCTTCCTTCGGCGCTTTCCACCCTGCCTGCTGCACAGAAGGCGACTTTGGTTCTTGCGGAGGTGCTTGCGGCACACACCCCGAGGTCGTGCATGTCACCATCACTCCCAACTCCTGAGCAGGCCACGAACCTTTGCAACTCCCTGTTGAACCAGGCGTCCACTCACGTCTTTGAGTACAGGCCTAGCAGCCTTGAGGTGGGGCTTTCCGAACAGAAAGGACCCCTTTCTTTAGACCCCCCAAAATCGTAGGATCCCCACTTATCACCAGGACCCCCTCCAGAAAATTCCCCTCACATCGGAAGCCCCCCAGGTTTGTGTTGGAGAGATGGTGGAGCTGTGGCCGCCCGTATCTCATCTTCGCGGCTGCTTTTTTGTCGCTGCTCCTAGTCTGCCCAGCGGAGTTCAGCTCGATGGGAGATCAGGCTTGGTCTATGGCCGGCCTGAGGAGCCCCTTGAAAGCCCAGTGGTATTCTAGGGTTTAGGGTTTAGGGTTTAGGGTTCAGGGTTTAGGGTTTAGGGTTTAGGGTTTAGGGGTCCCTTTTTCCTTTTTTTTTTGTCCAAGGTTCCCCTTAAAGCCCAAAACGGGTACCCTTATTTTTAACATGGTTTGGCTGGGCTACCAAGGCCCACACCAGGAGAAGTGAACTACCTCGTTACTGCCTGGCAGCTCGAGCAAGTCCCTCCCAACGTCGGTGTTGCCTTGATCAGGCTCACTGTTGCAGGAAGGCTTTCTTGCGGCAACACTGACTGCTATCGGTTCGCTATGCCATCTCCGGATGCATGAACACATCTTCCGGCCGTTCTGTTTTCACAAGGACTTCAGATTCCACCCCTAAACCCTAAGCCCTAAACCCTAAAACCGCAATCAGAAGTCTGCACTAGCCCGGAGCGCAGACGAGGAGGGTACAGACGGAAGGCCTGTGTGATTGAGTTGGTCAAGCCTTGGGAAAGTGAACCCCATAGCCATATACCAAGCTAGGGATTAAAGTGGGTTTAGGTTTTAGGGTTTAAGGTTTAAGTATACCCGAATCTAGCGTTTGCTTCAGAACCCCCCCCCCCCCCCCCCCAAAAAAAAAAAGTAAACGACACCTTCCCTATAAGAGTACGAAGGGGACTATTACTGCATATTTGTTGGTGGGGTTTCTTGAGCAAATAGTAGTCATAGGGATGAAAGTGGCTTTAGGGTTTAGGGTCTGGGGTCCCCAAGCCCAGTTGCAAGAGGGTGTAGGGCATGTGATCCCAGTTCTGGGTTCATTAGTGGTCCGCAATGAACTTCACTGGGTGTGACTTTGAAGTGGCATCTGCACGGCATGAAAAACAACGCAGGGCTTCCCCTAAACCCCAAACCCGAAACCCTAAACCCTAAACCCTAAACCCTAAACCCTAAACCCTTCAATCACACAGATGCACTGCCGAGCTCTCCTTGTTTGCGGTTAGGGGATTTTGGCGCGCCTGCGGCCAGCGCATATCCCGCTTCTGCCACAATCGCTTGAAGCACCGTGGCTGGAAGCGTTACAGATTGCGTCATCGATTCTGCCTAAACCCTAAACCCTAAACCCTAAACCCTAAACCCTAAACCCTAAACCCTAAACCCTAACAAACCTAATCAACCCTAAACACACTGGTCTCTTCGTCCAAGGTTCCCTAAAGCCCAAAAAGGGTACCTTATTTTCAATATGGTTGCTGGGCTAGCAAGGCCCACACCAGGAGAAGTGAACTACTTCGTTACTGCCTGGCAGCTAGAGCAAGTCCGACTGCTATCGGTTCGCTATGCCATCTTCGTGATGCATGAACACATCTTCCGGCCGTTCAGTTTTCAAATGGACTTCAGATTCTACGTTCTCAACCCGAAATTATCCAAAATTGGTGGTGTCACTCAAGGATGTTCAAGAAGCTTTGGGCTGTTTGAGAAGCCTACAGCCTAAACCGCCCAAACCCGAAACCCTAAACCGCAATCGGAAGTCTGCACTAGCCCGGAGCGCAGACGAAGAGGGTACAGACGGAAGGCTCGTGTGATTGAGTTGGTCAAGCCTTGGGAACTAAGTGAACCCCATAGCCATATCCCCTACTAGGGATTAAAGTGGGTTTAGGGTTTAGGGTTCAGGGTTTAGTATACCCGAATCTATTGTTTAATCTATTGTTTGCTTCAGAACCCCCCCCCCCCCCCCCAAAAAAAAAAAAAAATAAAAATAATAATAATAAAAAGCTAAAAAGGTAAAAGACACCTTCCCTATAAGGGTACTAAGGGGATAATTACTGCATATTTGTTGGTGGGGGTTCTTGAGCAAATAGTACGTAGTCATAGGGATGAAAGTGGCTTTAGGGTTTAGGGTCTGGGGTCCTCAAGCCCAGTTGCAAAAGGGTGTAGGGTATGTGATCCCAGTTCTGGGTTCATTAGTGGTCCGCATTGAACTTCACTGGGTGTGACTTTGAAGCGGCATTCGCACGACACAAACACAACGCAAGGCTTCCCCTACACCCCGAGACCCTAAACCCTAAACCCTAAACTCTACCCCCTAAACCCTAAACCCTAAACCCTTCAATCACACAGATGCACAGCCGAGCCCTCCTCGTTTGCGGTTAGGGGATTTTGGCGCGCCTGCGGCCAGCGCATTTCCCGCCTCTGCCACCATAGCTTGAAGCACCGTGGCTGGAAGCCTACAGATTGCGTCATCGATTTTGCCTGCCTAAACCCTAAACCCTAAACACTAACAAACCTAATCAACCCTAAACACACTGGTCTTTTTGTAGAGTTTGTGGAGCCGCTGTGTTCCATCCTGCTGCCGAATGCAGGGTGAAGCTACAGGGCACTCACAACTCTCCAGTCTGCGTTGGAGGAAGAACGCACAGTTTGGTAAATCCTTGGGGTCCAAGTGAATGAACCCTATAAATGGGATCATATGCCCCTGTACTAGAAATCTCCCGTTAGGGTTTGCACATGGACCATAAACCCTGTTGGGGTTCTTTGGCACCCCCAAGGATCTGTTTCCTCAGGCCCCTGCAAGCATTGAAGCATGTCAAATGCGAATGACCTGAGTCTTGCACGGGAGCCACGTCACGGTGAGGAGGTGATCGGTCTGATTCTAGGCGGCTGAAAACATTTCACATGCCTGCCTAGGTTAGGTAGGCCTCTGCACATTCGACATCTCTGGCTTCTGAGGATTTCATGGAGGTTTCACTGTCATCTTCTGCAAAACTAAAGCCCTTCACCAACAAGGTGTGAGACAGTCCTAAACCTTAAACCCTAAACCCTAAACCGCTGCTCGGTCAGCTAAGCGGGTGGCAAAAAAAAAAACGCTGCTCCAGCTATGCTAGGGCCCCCCCCCCCCTCCCCAAAAACGCAGGTCGGCGTCTCCTGAGGGCGATGGCCGGCCGTCCGCAGGTTGGGGCCGGGTTTTGAATGGGGTTTCAAGGGTTTTGTGTTTAGGGTTTAGGGACCCTCTACGCCAAACCCAAAAGGCCCAAAATTGACAAGGGAAAGGTTAGGGCTCAGGGGCTCGCAGAGGATTTCAGGTTTGGGAAGTCGGGTGGGTGGAGTAATTAGGGGGAGCCCTAAACCCTAAACTCGCGGTTCAAATTGATACCCGTCCTTCCCTAAGGCAAAGGGAAGGCAAATCCCAGCCCCCGGGTTTAGGGTTTAGGGTGTAGGTTCCAAGCTCACCTTCTTGAATAGTTCGGGGTCTTAGCGTCGGGTTGTTCGGAACCAATCCCGAAACCCCAAAACCCTCAATTTCGCTTGGGCCTTCGGGTTCAATAAGAGGGTTCAGGGTCTAGGGTTTGGGGTTTAGGTTTGCCCGCACAGTAGGAACTAGGAACTGGCCATGCATGCCCATGCTTGGATTTAGCTTTCGAGCTGTTCAGGGTTCTTTGGGTTGAGGGTTAAGAGCTAAGTGTGCAAGATTACTAAACCCGAACCCCGAACCCTAAACCCTACCTCGAACTCTGTTTACCTACAGTTCAGTAGTAAGTACCCCTCAATTATAATTAGTATGTAGAAGCCATAAAAGTGCAGGTAAACAGGGTCCGCGGTCGACCTTTTTGCCGTCTACAACCCCCTAAACCCTAAACCCTAAACCCTAAACCCTAAACCCTAAACCCTAAACCCTAAACCCTAAACCCTGAACCCTAAACCCTAAACCCTAAACCCTAAACAGAATAATTAGGGTTTAGGGTTTAGGGTTTAGGGTTTAGGTTTAGGGTTTAGGGTTTAGGGTTTAGGGTTTAGGGTTTCGGGTTTAGGGTTTAGGGTTTAGGGTTTAGGGTTTAGGGTTTAGGGTTAGGCTTGAGGGCTTGGTTGGGATGTTCACTCTTATGCAAACAGTCCTTAATAGTTTGCTAGTACAGGGGGGAACATCCCAAGGGTTGGTTTCGGACATACCCCCCTTGAACCCCAACCCTAAACCTGCCGGCCTTGTGCGAGAGTGAGCGACTAAACCCTGAACCCTAAACCGTAAACCCAAAACCCAAAAACCCTAAACCCTAAACCAGGGAACCTTGGGTTACATACCCCCCCTTCCCCCTTAAGATCTAACTTCTGCAGGCGCGCCCCAACCGCAGCCGCAAGTCCGGTAGCAACGCAAGGCCTAGACGAGTGCCTTGTGCGCCTTAGGGTTTAGGGTTTCGGGTATAGGGTTTAGGGTTTAGGGTTTAGGGCTGTTGAATTCCTTGCCTTAAGCCCTAAAACCCCGAAACTCAGCCGACCCAGCTTCCAAATCACAAACCCCAGACATGAAACTCTCATCCCCAAAGTCTGGGGAGTTACAAGCCTGGGGGTCTAAACCCGAAACCTTACCTTGGCTTTCTTCTGGCTGGGTCTTAGGACTTTAACTGTTTGGGTTGTTGAAGAAACTAGAATAAGAAGCCTAAAAGTTAAACTTTTAGGAGGGTTTCAGAAGTCAGCCAAGCTGCGTAATGGGCTCCCGGATTTCCCCAATGCCTGACTCCGGCGAGCGTGCCCTCGGAAGACCCTAAATCCTGAAGATTTGCCTTGCAAGCCTCTGAAACCTTCCCTAACCCCTGGCATACCCTAAAGCCCGAAACCCCTAAACCCCTAAGCCCCTAAACCCCTCAACCCTAAACCCTAAACCCTAAACCCTAAACAAACTGAAAGAGGGAGAAGGGTCCACGGATTCACGGATCGGATCGGCAAGGTGCGCGATCTCAGAGCGCCTAGGACCCGAGAGGGCCCTGACTCCCTTTTCTCTAGGGCTTAGGTTTAGGGTTTAGGGTTTAGGGTTTAGGGTTTAGGGTTTAGGCCGTATAAACCCCTTTTTGAAACCAAAAAGGGCACCCCTTAATTCAGAGAGTTAGGTGCCCCAGATCCAGGCGAAAGCTTTCAGAAAGGACCTAGAAAGAGACCCTACACCCTAAACCCCTAAACCCTAAACCCTAAACCCTAATTATTCTGAAATTCCCTGACCAATTTTCTCCCAAGAACCTGGGAGCCCGAACCTCCACGTCCAAGGCTTTATATGGGGTTTAGGGTTTAGGGTTTGGGGTTTAGGGTTTAGGGTTTAGGGTTTAGGGTTTGGGGTTTGGGGTTTGGGGTTTAGGGTTTGGGGACGTTGGCGGTTTTGAGTTTGGGGTTCTTCGGGTGTAGGAGACGTCAGCTTGTATTCATCAAAGGGCTTTGCAATGAAACATCCCCCCCCCCCCTCCCCCCCGAACCCCTGCGCCCTAAACCTTAAAAACCCTAAGCCCAAAACCCCTAAACCCCTAAAATCAATCTACGAAAAAATGTACATATATATATATATAATTTTATTCATTTATTTTTGTGTATTT